GGATCAGAATAAAAATTATATAGATAGAAAAGTAAGCATTTCAAATACATAAGAAACTAGTGAGATAAGTCGATAAGTTTTCTTTAAAATAAAAATTAGGGGAGATAATCATAGTGTGAGTATTGAATAGATTACGGCGCAGATGACGAATGTGTAATATGGCTTTATGGTAATATATCAGAAACTATGGAAGAAGATGAGTATAGACGAGCATCCAAGAATAAGAAATTAAAGTGCACATACCGACTCCCGAGATCGTCCCAAAACTGAGGCTGACGAAGCCTTCAGCGAGGGAGCGCATCGCATCGAGACAAGCTGCAGCGGTTGCCTCAGTCAAGCAGTCCTGTTGACCAATCTGCATAACAATTGGAGGCAAGCGGCCACTGGCGAGTGCAGAGGCTGGCCAGCCAGCGCCAGGAATGTCAGGATCTACCCGAATAGGGCACAGACCTTGAGCCAAGCAAGAAGAAAAAAGGTGACGTCTCAAGACCCCACTTAGCATATTTTGTTTAAAATACGCGGCAAATGAGGCGAATAGGAGGAAGATAGGATGGGATGAAAAAATGCACTGAAGTGAGTGGAGCGATGGACGAATGAATTATTGTATGATAATTAAAAGCGAATGAAAATAAATGGGATTTTCAATTCATAGAGTGGATAGGATCCATGAAGCATATGAAAGAATGCCTTGTAATTATGATTGTCGATTTGAACAAGGTCCTCGGCGCACAGTCCTGCAATCTTGATTAATCCCTTGTTGAGCTTTCGAGCCTGTCTGAGTGATAATCCACGTCAAATCGAGAAACTCTTGTTGAACAAAATTAACTAAATCGTAGATATGAAGACCAAGAGGGCGTGGCCTTCTGCTTGCTAAGCCTCAAAATGACTGCTTGTCTGAAATTAGGCTGCTTAAGAGCCTTCCATTCCCGTCCTCGATTCCGCCATAATCTGGGATTAAGAGCAGATGATGCCCTGGGAATATTCCTCCCCATAGGCTTCAAACTCATGACTCGATTTTCCACTCACATTATGTCTGATTCCTTAGGGCCCTGTGTCCGGCTTAAGTCATAATTTCTGGTGTGAGAATGCACCGCTACCGTTATTGGATGTGAAGCTCATTCACTCCCAGGAAACTCTCAATGAAAATCTTTTCCGGAAGAAATCGCATGCCGGAATAACTCTTTATTTCCAGTCGAACTATACTTATGGGATGAAGATTGGAATAGTCCAGAGTATGGCCATTAGAAGCTTAAGACTCACTGATTCTGAATTCTGGGAAGAAGGCCTGGGAAAACTAACTCAGATGTTTCTTGAAAAGGGATATCCAGAATAAGCAATACAACGCAACAGACTGATGGTGATGAACAGATGGAAGGACGGAGATTATGAAAGGAAAGAAAGAGGAGCAGAATAAAAATTATGGATATGTCTATCCCCCAGAACAACCCTTTTCGTCAAGACAAAAATTAGTCTAATACTATTACATGAAGGCCAATGCGGCTAGTGACGTAGAATGCATACCAAGGGCGATTTTGCAAAGTTTCGGTGTAAAAATATGTGCAATTCTCTTCAAATTACCTTCCCGTACGAATAAGAAATAGGCTAAAACAGTTACATATAAATTCCTCTAAATATAACACTATTGTACATAATCGGTGAGTCATCAAATAAAAGACTTTTGTACCAAGGTAAACATTTTATAAATACTTCAATTATAAAACAGCAAATAAAAAAAACGAATAACTGAAAAAGTCAAGGCTTTATAAGTGTAAAACGCTCTGAAACAAGGAGAAAGAATATAACAATACTTATAAGATATGAATAGAAACTCGAATTTAAAGAATTGTTCAATCATAAATTGTGACATGAATTTCCATTTCGAAGAAAAAGTTGGTTGGTAAGAATTCGTGATGTGGTCCCACCAAAAACCAAAGGAGAATTGGCACGTATGAAAGACTGTTGAACCGTGCGAAGAAGTATTCGGCTCACTGTGCAGCGAATCCAATGAAACTATGCTCAGCTTTCGATTCTATTGCGACAAAATTCATCAGAGCATAAATCCGTACTTCACGAAATAGAGCAAAAATATAATAACCCAAGAGTAAAGGTGGCTGGCTGCAACCCTAGTCGCTTTTTATATACCTAATCTCGCGATCTTAATGAGACATCCCATGATTTGGTGGGCTACTTCAACCTTATTGTTGAGCCTACTTCCATTTCGAGTGAAAGTGTTGGGTGAAGAGATTCGAAGGTCGGTTCCACCAGAGGATGATAACAGATTCCTCTTGACCAGCTGTCGATTGGCTTTACTGAAAGATTCATGCAAACGCTATTTACGAGGTAATCTCCTTCGATTCCGGTTAAAAGGTGCTAAGCTTTCGTTCGTCATATGACGAGCATCATCAGAGCAAGGTATCATCATCACAACCAAATTAAAGCTAACGATTCAAGAAAAATCACCGGCAAATCCATAAAAAGCGGTATATATACTCTACATCTGGCCTCTTTTATCAAGTATAAAGTGATTTGGTTAGTTAAGGTCATATGTCAACTTTGATGCATGTGAATGTGTCTGTCTCTATGTGTGTATGTGCCTGTTTGTGTTCGCGTATGCACGAAACCCGTAGTGATGGCTCAAAGTAGTTAGGACAGCAAAAAGGAACGTCTGTTGTTGGCCATCAAGGTTTGATGACCCCTATCTCCTTTCTACATTTAGGTTATAACCATCACTCTGATTGCGCAAGGTCGGACACACGTCTGGTTTTGTTTATGAGCTTTTTTTGTTTTGGTCTCATTGCAAGAGAGGAGTGAGCTAAATGTACAGAGAAGTGACTATGATTCGAACCAACACAAGAAAAGACTAGTTGCGTCGTCTCATTTTTGCAGGCGGCTCAACTCCCTCTATTCTTCAGCCTATTAATTAATCACAAGTAATTTTTACATATCTTCTTGCCAGTATTCCTTACATGCAATGTATTTCCTATTCGGTTTATTTCGGTGGCTTCTCGAATTGTACGCTTAGCCGCGAACATAATATAATCAGCAAAACGACAAGTTTGAGCCCATCTAATATCGTGTCCCGTTTCCACCCTGTGCTTAGCAAGCTCCGATTTTTGAACCAAGCAGCCTTTGCAGGCGCTTTTGTGCTCAGCCACCCTTTGTCAAATGGGACGACAAGTCTTTCTAACATAAAATCGACCATATGAACACATTATGTTGTAGCAACCCGATCTGGATACTGAGTTAACTTTCTCTCTAAAAGTGGGCATAACTTAAGAAAGTGTCGTAGTTTCCCTGAAGACCATTTTATTCCCCATTTCCTTGCTTGTTCACCTATCCTTTTAGAAAGAATGCACGAAGGTAAATACAAAACATGATAAAAGGTTTCATTATCTCTTTTTACGTATTAACCATTCAAAAATCTATTCTTTATTAATCTAATGTTATCTTCAATCAAGCCTAGGGGATTGCCTCAAGAAAAATTATTTTAAGCCGATTCAGTTCATTGAAACAATGGTGCCGTATGGCAAAATGGTCATCCATTTATATAATTAATAGTTTGGGTGTCAATCTTACCTCCTCCATGAAGTGTTCCTCTATACTTAATATGTAATTATTAGCCAAAATGGGAGCCAAGCAAGATCCCATTGCTAGGCCCTGCACCTGCTCATAAACTTTATCATTAAAGGTCAAGTATGTGCTGGTCATGGATAGATTAAGAAGCCTTAAGATTGAGCCTTTGCTCAGATTTGCCTCTCAAATAATTTCTGGGTGTAAGTGCTTCAATAGCTTGATGAACTGGGATGTTAGTATACATTGATACCACATCAAAACTAACCAAAAGATTCTGTTGATCTATTAATATAGCAAATTCATATGAATTCTTCACTGAATATTTCCAATATTCAGCCAATTTCCTTAGTTGTCTACATAA